GAGGTTCAAACTTTTAGGTTCGAACTTGATTTGTTTGTTCTTCGCCTTGTTTGGTTCCAGGGTCTGTTTTCAGGACCTGGGAGTGCCAAGCGCAGATCCGGAATGAGGCTCTGCACCATATGGAAACCAGGAGAGGTTGTTGGATTGATTTTGGGCGGATTTGCCGATATTTTGGACGGGGCTAAGACGAGCATACATCCGTTCCAGCGCTCTGAGAAGGCTGCGGCTACCGAGACATCCTCCAGGGCCGCCGGATCCCAGAGTTGCTCAGCTAATCCCCATCCGATGTGATCCTCGTCTTGGCCTCGCCTTAAGAAGGCTCGAGTTCCATGGGAAGCATCGAGTCGGATTTCTGGTCGGGCAATAATTTCTGGCGTGCGGGTGCCTTGGTCTGCGCCCGCAGCACCCCATGCGGTGATTGTGTGCGGGAGTGTTCCTTGGCATCTCTCGGACGTGTGCATGCTTCTTCGGCGAGGAGCATCGGGGAGCGTCCTGGATCATCTTGCGAGATATACGCGCGCGACGACGATTTATCCTCACCCGCCTTTGCCCTCGTCCTGGTTTCGTCCCGTGGGGGTGGCCTGTGCGTCGTCCGCTCGTCGGCACGCCCGATGCGGCCCGATGCCGCCCGCGCGCGACCCGCTGGCGCCCAGGCGCAGGAATCACGGGCTCCTCTGGGCGGCGCCCGCCGCCCTGTCGGCGGGGGGCTCGGGAGAGAGGCGAGCGAACCGCACCCGCCCAGAGCTCGGAGAAACAATAACAGCACAAACATAAACTGTCGGCGCTCCGCGCGGATTTCTCGGATCCGCGCCTGGGCCCCCCCCCGCGGCGCTTGGTGCGCCACCCCTGGCGCATTCCGCGCGCCAGGGAGGGGAGTCCAGCACAAATCCACGAAATCCGCGCGCAGCGCCAAAAGTTTACGTTTATTCTAGTTCGCCTGTTTTCCCCGTTGTTTGGCCTCCTGGGATACCCTCGTCGCCACCGCTGGATTCGCTTCGAAATCATCCTTCTTAGAACGCGCCCCAGGAGATGTCCGCGGGTTACCAGTATCGGTACGCTTTGTTTTCCCAAGAGCGCGGGGGGGGGAATGAGAAGGAACAGGCCTTCTCGTGAAGGCGGCGGAACTTCTCAGAAGCCCTCGCGCCTTGTGAGAGGTGCTCTGCGTCGTCGGGGAAGGCTTAGAAAGCTTCTCAGAAGGTCGGGGGACTTCCGAGCTTTCTGAGAAAGCCCGCCCTTTTTAATTTCCCCCCCCCCGGCGCGCCGCCCAATAGGGCGGGACGGAGGGGACGACGTCAGGAGCGGAAGAAGGACGTACACGTCCGTGAACCCGCGTTGGTTTAGTGCACTTTTCGCGAACGTTAGCATCGTATCACGAGGCGGGTCTCGCGGACAGGCGGCCCGTATTCACGTACGTGGTTCGGGCGCGTGCGTCTTGTGTGGGCTCCCTGGCTCTGGGTGCGTGTTGTCAGATGGGGATCCCCGCTCGAATAGGAGCCTCCCCGGCGGTCCCACGTCCCGCACCCATAGAGTCAACGCGCCTAGTGAGGACGCGCGCCTTCATCCATGCTGCCCTTGTGTCCTTGCCTCTGCGGCCCCCTCCTTTGCCGTTGTCACTGGTCGCCCGCCGCCCAGAAAATCCCAATTCGGCCTCCAAGGGTCTTGCGTCCTTACCACCCGTCCGTAATACACGTTTCGACTGTATCCAGAGCCAGTCCTCCTCCATCCGACTCCCCTATTGGGTATGGATGTGTATGTGTTGTTCGCCAGAGAAGGGGGGTGGGCGCGCGTCCGGGGTCCGTTGAATCGGGTGGGCTTCAGCCAGCGCTGTTCAGAAAGTAGCCAGACGCGGGAGTTTGCGCTCCATTTGTGTCGCATGTGTGACAGCTAGACGCGCCCAGCAGCGCTCAGCGCTTGAAAAGCGCCTGAAGGGACGCCCAATAGTGACCAGCGGCGCCCAAGAGGGCCACGTGAGAGAGATGCATAGTGTGCTCGCTGTACGCGCGATGGGGCGCACTCTGGGACGCCATGGGGACGACCAAAAGCTTCCGCGAGTTGCTTTAGAAGGGTTGGTGGCGTCCACCGGTGCGATCGAAGCAGGAACTGCAAGAATGGGTACGAAGTCCGACAACATGTCATGGTCATTTTGAAACTGACTCGCTGTCGGTGTCGCCGCGGACGTTGTACATTTGAGAACGAAGGCCTCCTGCCCAACAGCGGCCGGTGTCGGCTTTGAACCACCTTTGTTGTTGGGCATCGTGCCAATTGTTGCTGTACCCTTTCGGGCGTCCAAAGTCCAGAAGGGGAGTGAGTATGAGGAGGGGGAAAAAGACGCAGACACAATGAATCGTCGACTCCCAGGAAAACATGGGAAAGTATGGGAAGTGGGGGGGAAGGCGAAAACCCAAAACATATGGGACAATATGGGGAGAATCCTGGGATGCTTGTCTTTGTTTCTATGTGTGTGTGTGTTCCTGAGCCCCTGTAGAGAGTAAAGGGTTCGGGGAAGTTCTTTTCGTAGGGGTCAGGGAGTGTTTTGGAAGGGTTTTCGTCGCTTTGGGGGGAACCAGTTCCTGGCTTCCTGGGCCGGAGAGGAGGGAGGAGAGGGAGGAGGAGGAGGGGGCAGGAGGGAGGAGAGGGAGGAGGGAGGAGAGAGGAGGAGAGGGAGGAGAGGGAGGAGGAGGAGAGGGAGGAGAGAGGAGGAGGAGAGGGAGGAGGGCTTTCTGAGCCAGGGATGGGGTGGACGTCGTGGCCAGGTCAATGTTGCTTCTCCGGATGTCGTGGCCTGCCCCCCCCCCTTTCGACACGTCGCGTGCCCCCCCCCCCCTTGTACCGCGCGCGCGCCTCGGCCCATGGTTTGCGAACCCGCCTCTTGGACCCCCCCGACACCTCGTGGACGTCCACGACAGAGAGCGAGGAGGACGGCGAGAAAGGGGGGGGAGGACGGGGAGGACAGGGAGGAGGAGGACGGGAAGGAGGAGGAGGAGGAGGAGGAGGAGGAGGAGGAGGAGGAGGAGTAAGAGGAGGTGGAGGAGGAGGAGTGATGCACTGTTCCTGCGCATGGCCAATGGGCTTCCACAGCAGCACTCACAGACGAACACCATATACGGAAAGACCCACACCGGGCGCACGGAGGACTGGCGAAGAAGTGCCGAGAGGATGCATCGATTACGACAATGAGTTGCAGGTGGCGAATATTACCTTCAGGACACAGCCATAGCACAAACAAACATTGACTGCACGAACGCATTTGGATGCTCGTCACGAGAGAAGCTGGCAGAAATAGCGAGAGCTCAGAGTTTGGAGAAGGACATCCCGTTTGCAGTTGAGGCGACCGAACATGCATCGATGGTGATCAAAGGCAATGATGAGGAGACCACTTTGATGCCGAATAACGGAAGTCAGATGGGATTTTGTTTAGCACCGCGGGAACGACTGCTACAACAGCCTCATTGACAAGTGGAACGCGCATCTCAAGGAGCAGGACATCACACACGATTTGCTGAGGACGAGGAGCACCACGATGAAGAAGGGAGAAGAGGTGGACATAGGACTGGCTACTTTCATGGACGATGTGAAACGAACACATATCTGGTTGGGCACGGCGAGTGCACTGGAGGCGGTAGAGAAGATCAACTACACGGACAGCTTGGAGAGAGAGATTTCTGTTGGATGATACTTTCTTCACGCTGGCAAGACGCACCACCGTGTGGGATAACGAGGATCTGGAGCGCAGGCCACTACACGTCGATTGCAGCAGAAGCAGAGCGGAGTCAAGGGCGAGGGCCAGATGCACATGAGATTGCTAGGACCGTGCCTAGCAGCCGACGGGACCATCGCCGAGGAGGTTCGGAGGCGCGGGAAGGCGATGTACCGAGCTTGGAGGGAAGGAGGAGTCTTCTGGAAGGCGAAGGAGTTGAAGACCACAAGAAGGCTGATGTTGCAAAGTCCTGTCCAGGGAGTGGCCCTATCGGGGCTGACACCGATGGTTCTAGATAAGCAGCACATTTCCTATCTCAACAACATCATTGTTAAACTCTTGAGGAGCCTCGCGGGTGGCAGCTGTTGCTGGATCACTCCAGCGGGAGCAACTAAATCGATGAGTCCGTTGAAGGTTCCCGAATGCTAGATATCTACGGCACGGCCACGGAGCTCTTTATCCGAAGGCTAAAGAGATACCAGAGTTAGGGGAGGTTTGCAGAAGCTGCTAAACAGGTTCTCGCATCGATTCGGGAAAATACGCTGATGGAGGAGGCTACGGCTATATCTAGACTGGATTGAGTGTAGAGCGAAAGTACGCCCTGGGCAAAGTTGCTCCAGGACGATGTGAAGCTGCTGGCCATTTTGTGTGACGACTTCTGTGACTGGTATCCAGACGACGGCAGAGATTGGCTGCTGTTTGTCGCAGGTACTGAAGAACATCGCAATTGGTGCATGGCAGATGTCCTCATCGTCCGTTTACAGTCTAGGAGATTAAGAAGGGCGCCAGGGGAGGATACCGGAATGATCGAGGAGACAAACATAGACGACATGGGCAAACCGTTTATCTGCAACATGGGGAGATTGAAGGAGGGAGCGGAGAAGGAATGCGTCAAGTCATGCGCATCATACCCGGCGGTAACAGCACACCAACAGCCAGCACGCCGTTGTATATCAGCATTGGGACTTCCTACACGAACACACATCAATGCCCATGGTGTCGCGCAGTATTTGCTAGCAGACAAGTAGCAGTGGATCGCGCAATTGCAGCAACAGAAGGAGCGAACAAGGCATGATGCGCTAACGTTGGGCGTTGGGAGCACGAGCTTAGCACTCCCGGCAACTTGAACTGCTCGCTGAGACGCAGCTTGGTGGCTCGAAATTTCGATGAGTTTCGGACCCGCGCCGTTGCTCGTCAGCATGGCCCTGAGGCCATCAGAGTTTCCAAGCGCGGCGACTGCAGCAGACAGACCGCAGTGGAGAGCGCCCAAATGAGGAGCATCAGGCGCTGCTGCGGAACAGCGAGAACACAAAGAACGGCGCAGCGGGAGAGGAGGTAAAGATGCGGATTAGAAGTTTGATGGGGGGATGGTGGAGAAAATCACCAGCCTGCAGTGCCTCGCGTTGCCCCAGGACGCCCATGGCCGAGAGCTGGCTGCGGCGCTATTCGGCATTTGGCTATGCCCGAGCAGTGCCAAGTGCATCAGGAGTGGCAAGGAGGCGATCGCGGACTACCAGAAGGCGGTGAAGGATAAAAGGGAAGGACCACGGGGTGGGACCACCACGCATGCAGGTCTCAGTTGCGATGATGGAGGAGATGAAGGGGGTCCGGGTGGCGAGGTGGTGTCCAAATGGCTGCGCATGGCGAACGGCGAGAAGGGCCAGGAGGTGGTCAACGAGACATTCCAGGTGTGCTACCCGAAGGACGCCCATGCGAGGCAGGACCAGCCCGAGGATCATAAGAAGACGAAGGTCACGATGAACCTCAACAAGTGGGCGGACTTCAGAGCGTACGAGGCGGAATCGATGCAGCACGGCATCTCGATAAAAAGGAGGTGCGAATGGGCTTCCTGGCGGGAGTGCAGAAGTTCGGAGCGGAGAAGATGATGGGTAAAGGGCCGAATCCAGGGCTGCTCAGGGTCGTGGAGAGGCAGCTCCGCGCGAACACGGACCGCTGACCAGAGTGACACATAGCAACAGCGCGCACATTTTTTTCAGCAGCTGCGATAAGGCAGGGGACTCCTGATAAGGGGGAACGCGGCCAGGTGGCATCTCCCCGAGGTGGGGGAGATAGCACCCAGCCGAGCGCGGGCGAGCCGAGTGGAGCTTCCAGAGGTTCCAGGAGTTCCATATGCCAGCCGATCCAATATACTCTAGTCCCTTACTCCTGTGCCTCCTTGCCTTCCCTCGTCCTCTTCTATACCTCCCGCTAGCGCGGCTCGTGCCACTGTCTCGCAACACGCGACGAGCGATCTTAGCATTCTAGCGAATCTGGAGCGCATGGCAGCAGCGGGTAGTAGTATACCAAGGGAGATGTTAGCAGGCGCTTACAGGCTGTTGCGTCGTCCTCCCCGTGCCCCGTGAGGTGGCAGGTGCGAGGAGGAAAAGGTTGATCGATGTTTTTAGCGGCGGGACCATGCTTATGCATCCTTGCCGACGGTCCACTGGAGCGGGCGGCGACGGGGTCACTCGCTTCAGCGGGCCAGGCTGCTGCACAGTAGTGATGGCCCCTCGTCCGCTCTCGAGTTCCACACACGGGGCACTACATAAGGCATGGCATCGCCCTTATATATCCAGACCACAGAACTGAGACGAATCGCCCCCCCAGCGTTCCATCCATCCATCCATCCCTCGCGGCCGCCTCTTCCTCCCTGTCTCCCTCTCCTGCCGCTGGACGATGAGCGCCTGCCGTTTCCCAGCCCAGCCCGAGCGCGCGTGCGGACTGCCCTTGCCGCGCTGCGACGTAAGACAAGTTTCTGGGTCCTTGTGGTTCGGGCGGGGCGAGGGCCAGGATACATCCCATCCAGAGCGTGCCGGATCGCTCTCAGAGCGTTCCTGAACGCTGTGAGAAGGCCGCGGCGCCCGAGACATCCTCCAACGCCGCCAGATCTCAGAGATTCCCGATTTATCCTCACCCGTGTTTATCCTCTTCCTGGCTTTGTCTGACTTGTGCCTAGTGCATCTTAGCACGGCGCCAATGAAGCACAGCGCCGGTAGGGTACGCAGGGGCCCTGCAGGGGTACAGTCGGCCGTGATTCGTAGGTCGACCCTGTCAATTCGAGGGTACCCTTGCATCCTGTGTTTCGCGGCATATGCCGTTTGCGTTCCCACGGCGCTGTGGCCCTCGGAAGTGTCTGTGTCTTCTCGCGTGTCATCTCCAATCAAGATCGACTGCAGCCATATTCAGGAAAGAAGTTTTGGTCAGCGCGCGAATCGGCCGAGGTCCTTCAGGTGATGCCCGGTGGAGGCGGGTTTTGACCCGATTCGGTTCGGTGCCGAAGCCGCAGTTCCACAGCCGACTGCCTGAGGGGCTCAAAGCAGTCGCCTCGCAACCCGGCGCTGACCTGGTTTGTTCCTTGCCCCCAGCCTTCATGCAGCTGCGGAGTTGTGGGGAGCGTTCTCGCCAGAGTCTCTGTCTCCCGCTCCGCAGCCTGTTTTTTGGGGTCCAGTGTTCAAGTCTGCCGAGGACGATGGCGCTACTGAGCGGCACCTATCGTTCGAGCAGAGTCCCATTCCAAGAGGCCGCGCATCCCCATCCCCATCCCATCCCCATCCCCGTGCAGACCTCCCAACATCTCAGCACCCCGTTTGGGGATAGATCCTTCGAGTCCCGCAGAAAGCTTCCCATATCCCCATCCGACGGGGTAAATCGGCCAGTTGGGCCCAGGCCGCGTTCATGAGGATAGGGGTCGGTTGAGCGATGCTCGAAGTGGCCGCGCATCCGAGGTGGCGGTGGTGGGCGTGAGCTTCTTGCCTGCCTTCGGCACATGCAGCCCCGACCTGCCGCCCATTGTGGAGGTCGACTCCCGGCTGGTGGACGTGCGGCTGCCGATCCAGGCTGGCCAAGGAGAACGGCCACGCTATTGGGCGTCGCGTAATGGGGGGGGGGGCGTTGAGTGTCGGAGAACCCCTGCTGCTCAGAAGGCGCGGGCCCTCTCTACAGGTGTAGTGCCAGCGCTTTCCTAAGGAGCAGCCTCTTTCTTAGACGCCTTCACCCCTCCCCCTACTCCCCTGTGCGCGCCGCCGACGCGGGCGGAGGGAGCGAGAAATGGCGGAAGAGGAGGGAGGCTTAGAGGAGGAACAGGTACCCATACCGCTGTCCTTGCCCTTCTTCGGCCTCCTGGGCGGCCCTCGTCACCACCGCTGGATTCGCCTCGAGGTTCGAATCAGAACGCACACCGAGAGAGGTCGGGGGAATAGGGGTATCGATACTCTTTAGTCTCACCAAGAAGAACGAGGACGGAGGATGGGATGGAGGAGGAGGAGGAGGAAGGAGGGAACGAGGAAGGAAGACGAGGTTGCCGATCTGGGCCAGGGTCGTTGCCGCCGCCGTCGTCGTTGGGGATCGAGCCTCGAGACTCGAGGAGGCGGCGTCCTCTGACGCGTTCGGGTCGGGGGGACGCGTCGGGACGGGCGGGCGCACCCGAACGGGGGGCGCTCCTCCTCCTCCTCCTCCTCCTCCTCCTCCTCCTCCTCCTCCTCCTCCGCCTCCTCCTCCTCCTCCTCCTCCTCCTCCTCCTCCTCCTCCTCTTCCTCCTCTTCCTCCTCCTCCTCCTCCTCGGTCGAGCGGGCAGACCCCACAGGGGCTGGTGAGCCGGGCGGGACAGTGAAGCGGGACGGGCCATCGCTCGGGCGGACGAGTCGGGCAGTTGGGCCGGGCGGGCGGACCCTGACGGGCGGGTCGGGCCCGCGAGGCGCGTGAGGGGCAGTCGAGTAGGATCATCCATAGGGCGTGCGGGTCGGCGGCTGGACGGGCGGGCCAGAAAGGGCTCATTTCGCTTCCTCCGAGTCGATTCGATTTCGATGGCTTCCGATTCCGATTCCGATTGGACTTCGGATTCCGATTTGGGTTCCGATTTCTCAATGGAGGCCTACAAGCCTGCCGATTTCCGCCGATTCGATTATTTTCGATCGCCGACCTGACTTATCGATTCGATTCTGGGCTCTCCCAACGGCCCTGCGGGACAGTAAATCGTGGTGGGACGCAATCGAGTACAGCCAACGGGCATGGTAAGGTTGAGTAACATTTCCGAGGGTACCCTTGCATCCTTGCGTCTATTCGGCCTATCAGTATTTTGGCAACCCTTAACTCGAAGAACTGCGACTTGGGCGTCCAAGAGAACTGCACCCTTGCCCAGCACACTTGTTATACGCGTTGGCTGCACGATCATTCCTTGGGCGGAGGGGTCGGGCCAGGCGGGAGCCCTGACGAGCGAAGCGCATCTGGCGAAGCGAAGCGAGCGAAGCGGGCGGAGCGAACAGGACGAAGCGAACGGGGGGGGAACGAACCTGGGCGCCGTTTTGGCGTCCTCCCCGGGCCGTCGTGGGGCCCCCCGTGGGCGCCTGGGATGCTGCCCCGCGGCCCCTCACGCCGCGCACCAAAGGTCCCTCTTGCCTAGGGTCGCTTTTGATTGCGTGCCCGATCATCCCCTTTCATCCTTCTCCAAATTTCAATTCATCATTCTCTTTCCCTCCTCCCCCTCCTCCTCCTTCCCTATGCTGCAATTATTGACGCTTCGCGTATCCCCACCAGTTCTAACAGGTCACGACCTCTCCTGGCGTGCAGGAGCCCATTCATTCTCATGTGTGCATTAGCTACCCTGGCCGTCTGCAGTCAGCTCAGCCAGCTCAGCCTCAGCCTGCGGCCTTGGCGGTAGGTTCTGACTCCGGGCTCGGCCGCTGTGCTCTTAGGCTAGCGCGTTGCTAATTTGACAGGCCCGTGGCCTGGACCTCTCAGCTCGGCGACTGCGAATGCGCGTCCGCCCACGACCAAAAAAAATATCCCCACCTGGCGCCCGCTCGCTCGCTTCGCTTGCCTTTCTTCTCCTGCTGCCTAGTCGCGGCCCGACTAGTGTTCGGACGGTTTTCGACCCGCCTCGCGAGCCTGTTGACCCAAAATGTATCCCCGCCAGTGTGCCTGCAATTCTGTGACATCTGGTCTTCAGTCATTGCCACAGTTCGCCGTGTCTGTCAGTGTTGCTGGCCCTCTGGGGTTCCGGGCCGTTGGTTCACTCAGGAGTGGTTCAGCTTTCTTGAATGGACTTGCGCGTCCCCCGTCGGTCTGTTGTCCTCCACTGGGCTATCACGCGGTCCCGCGCTTCGCCACGTCTGTGGCGCACCAACTTTTGGCGCCCTGTGGCGACAAGGTCCAAGTTACGTACCTGGCGATCCAGCTCCCATGGTACCCGCACGTTTGCAGCTTCAGGGCAGCCCCAGCAGCTTGCAGTCCCCACCCTCGGCGCCGGTTCCCAGCCTCGGCGGTTGCAGCACGGCCCCGGCGCAGCTGCTTCCCCCGGCGGTAGGTATTGCGTTCTCCTGCGCGCGCGGGCAATTAGTTTCGCTCGTAGCCCGAGCCGGCTCGCCGCTGCTGGCGCCTTGGCTTGCGGCTGCGGCAAAAAAATCCCACCAGCCCATCCTGACGCGATGGAAGGCTTTCCTGAGGCTCTTGAAGGCAATCTTGAGCCATGTTCGGCTAGTTTGGGTCATCTTGAAGCTGTGCTGGGGCCTCGTAGGGGGCCATGCTCGACCTCCTGGGAGCAGGAGGAGGAACAGGACGAGGAGGACGATGAGGAGGAGGAACTCCCAAGTCAAAAAAAAAATCAGGGCGCCTTCATGGAAGCTGCCCGAAAACGTGATCGTTCCCAATTCCCGGAAAAAATATCCTGGCGAGGGACCCAACCATGTGCAGTTGTAAGTGACGCAGTTGTGGGTATCCACCTCGGTGAACCTCCCTGGGGCCACGACGCGTGTGACGGGTGTGCCAAAATTGACACGGGTACGCCATGCGGACGCTGCCACCAGAGCCGTCGGTGGAGCACCCTATGGGGCCGCGGAACGTGCAAGGGGTGTGCCGAAATGGGGGTGGAACTGCATGCCGGCCCTGCCACTGGGGCCTTCGGCGGAGCGCCCTACAGGGCCACGAAACTTGTGAGGGGTGTGCTGAAATGGAGGTGGAACCGCATGCGAGAGCAGCACTGTGGCCTTCGGTGGAGCTCCCTATGAGCTCCCTATGGGGCCACGAAGCGTGTGAGGGGTGTGCCGAAATGGGGGTGGAACCGCATGCGGGCGCTGCCGCTGGGGCCTTCGGTGGAGCACCCTATGGGGCCACGAAACGCTCGAGGGGTGCGCCAGAAATGAGGTGGAACTGCATGCGGAACCTGCCACTGGGGCCTTCGGCGGAACACCGTATGGGGCCACGAAACGTGTGAGAGGTGCGCCGACATGGGGGTGGAATTGCATGCGGACCCTGCCACTGTGGCTTTCGGCGGAGCACCCTGTGGGGCCACGAAACGTGTGAAGGGTGTGCCGAAATGGGGGTGGAACTGCATGCGGACCCTGCCACAG